GGATTAGGGTTTATGGGTTTGGGGTTTAGGGTTTAGGGTTCTCGGGTATTCGGGGTTTAGAAGGTTTAGGGTTTAGGGTTCTCGGGTGTTCGGGGGATGTTACGGGTAGAAGGTCTTGGGGTTTTCGGGCTTTTGTCTGCAGGGGTTTTAGGGGTTTGGGGGTCTATGAGGGGGATTCGGGAGTTCGGGATGTGCGAGGGTTTGGGGTTGGGCTGTAGGGTCTCATCTGCTGAGCACAGCCCTTAAAGAAGGCGGGCATCGTCTGCAAGCATGTGCTAGCTGTAAGCTCAGGGAAGATGGTTTGTGGCCCAGTGTCCAGCCGATGGGAGCGCAAAGGATCCAGTGCGTAGTAGTGCACAGAAAGTATAAGGCCTTAAGGTACACGCATCCGGCCCAAAACCCCATGCTCTTCTTGTGGGCATTGGCAGATGTGGGAAGGTGTCCGCACTTGCTATTTCTATAGATAGGGTTAAGGCTCTATCCACAGGTCTGGGTTGAACAGGAAGGATAGAAACAGTTGTGATAGTGCCCTCTGTCATGCGATAGCTGTGTCTAAACTTTACTAATATAGATGCGCATATACATACGTCAGCACACCGCGCCTGTAGCCGCATGCATGTGCACATACATGCATGCATGAAGGGACAAAGACGCAGATATAGGCACAGACACATACCCTTATACACACATGCGTACAAGACAAAGGGTGGGCAAACATGCAAAGAGGCTCCTGCAGGAATTGCCGGAGCTCCTTCTTCGTACCTTTGAGGGCAAGGGGAGAGCAGACTGAGGGAACCGGTAGTACCCTTGGCGCCCACGGCCTTGTACCATCACCGAAACCGCTCAGTTGCAGTGAAAGTCAAGCCGTATAAGTGTGGGGAGAGGGAGGGGGGGGTTTAAGGCTTGGGAGCCTTTGGCCTGGGTCCCTGCTACTGATGCAAGCTGAGAGGATGGTCACAAGATGTTGAAAAGCAAATATCAGCAGTGACCATGGTCAACATCAACCTGCCTCATGATCGGCATGACTACCAAAGTCACCCCCATCACCAGTGCTGTTATCACCAACGATATCATCATCATTGTATCCGTCATTGTTACAACCATCAGCATCATCACCGTCGTCGTCAACAAGATTACATAATCACTGTCGTCGTCGTGGTCGGCAATATCATCAAGCTCTCCTCGCTACCCTCCCCCATAGTTACCCTCATTGGTTTCTTCGTACCATCACCATTGACATAACCTTTTTCATGTCCATCTTGACCAGCTTCGCATGTGTGCATTTCTTGGCAGTCATAAGCACTCCGTCCTCTAAGTAGATCTTGACATGGTGCGATGATGATGATGATGTTGATGAGGGTGATGAAGCGAAGTGAACTTCAATATCAACACTGAAACCACCGCCAACAACAACACCACAACGACAATCACCGCTAGCACCACCACCATCACCATGGTGTTGATCATTTCCAGGGGACATCATCACTTTTCATCAGTATGATCAACGTGGTGGTATGTACGACTAGCAAGACGACAGGGAGCCATCAGCCGGTCAAGACAAGGAGTCAAGAAAAAGGCCCTTGCCGCCCTCAACCACAACGCCCTGCATGCCAAAACTCGCGGAAGTCCCCCAACGTCACCGAAAAGGAACATGGACAGGTGAAAATCAAAACTCCAATCCCTGAGCCCTGAAGACTGCCGTCCGGTCGCAGGTGCCAGAGCCACTTCTATCTAGGCCGAACCTAAAGCCGGGACTGTCATACGGTTGCTGGACAAACCTAAACATGGAGGCCTGAATTGTAGTGTGAGTAGAATTCCTTTACAGGGTTCTTTACAAGGTGTTATGACAGGGCTTTAAGGGCCTCGATAAATAGCATACGGTCTGGGGAGGTATTGCGGCATGGCTATACATTAGGGACTGTGGGGGATACAGTTACTCATTGTCACTGTTCCGACCACGCTCCCCCAAAATAATGGTCGGGGTTCTATGTTCCAATCTTGTAAGGCTGTCTTCAAAGGAAAGCAACACGGGACTTCAGGGTTTACTGTAAGCAGGTTAGGGTTTGTGAGACCTCACAGCGGTTTTTGTCGACGGGTGAACTCGGAATAATAATCAAGATTGCACTCCACGGTCTTCTAGAGTTGTAGGTCCTACGATCCCCACACATACAAGACACAGACGAGAAAGACATGTCCTTCAAGCAGCTTGGTGGGCCATAAGCCTGAGACTGATCGTATCGTCATGCTTCAGCACAGTTCATACAGTTCTATTCTGGCAGTTTTGGGTCGATTGGGTCAGACGCAAACCCTTGAAGCCTAAAACCCTACCCAACCGCTCTGTTCATACTGCTCATGATATAGAGCCTGCAATACCTGAAGGACCCCACATAGGTATGGGAATTATTGCGTATTACATTCCTTAATCTGGGTAATGCAGGGCTTATATCATCAACCGTATCCTGAATATCTTCAGGTGCCGGTCTTTTGGTTGTCCAGTATCCTACAGCAACGAAAGGTAAATCCTTGTGATTATTCAGGGAGTACAATGCCCAAAAAGGCTGACGGCTGTTCTTGGTTACCTACTCTACTACACAGTCGTCTTTCCATGCTACGATAAATATCCGCAAGTACTCGATCGTACTCTGCTTACTATCGCCAAATGTTCTACCAAATTCTATTCCCAGCTGCCCCAGATGATCTCCAAGACTTCAGCACAAACTCCCAGACTAGACTTCAAATCCTAAAATCCATCCCCCAAACCCCAAACCCTAAATCTTACACCCTTCATTTCATCTTAGACTCTACTATACCCTGATAGAATCCTTACAGAACCCGAAAGACCCCCAAAGAAGACGAGTTTGGGGTCAAGGTGGCTTGAAGGCTTCCCGGAGTCCGCCATACTCCCGAAGGCAGATCCTGCTTTAGGGTTTAGGGTTTAGGGTAGTACTTGGAGGATCATGGGACTTAGTAAACAAGGTTATGTCCTTTAATAAGGGTTTTAAGATATTTTAAGTATAGTTACCCTGAGTTATAACCCTACTTACTAAGTCCCATGATCCTTTAAGTATTCATAGGAGTCTGGCGTCCATCGGTGTAGGATCTGTTCTTCTTGCTTTGATAGGGGAGTGGTTTAGTAATAAAGGGCCAGAGGGGCGAGGATCTAGTGTCTTCAGGACTTGTGGCTCAGAGTCATACCTCAACACTCAGTTCGTGTAGTGCGGTCTTTTGCAGCACCTGAATTGCGGCAAGGAACCCTGCAAGTGAGGATCGAGGTTTGTTGGGACTATGACTACTCTATCTCTCGGACTACAGTTCGTATCATGTTGACTTGATGGTAGAGGCGGCGATATGCACATATATCTCCATGTGTCTCTGTATGTGTGTATTTATGTAATTTATGTACGTATGTATGTATGTATGTATGTATGTATGTATGTATGTATGTTTGTTTGTATAGACACGTCTTAATGCACGCACACATACACTACATGTGCAGCCGGGTGTTCGTCATGTCGCTACTGACGTTGCTGGTCAGGCTGGAATTGCAGCTGCTGTTTCGAATTGCGCGATCATGTTGCTCAGAGAAGAATTTGGCGCTTGGGACATCAGAGAGCGGGGCATCGTTGCGATGGTGATGGTGATGATGATGATGATGCTGATGGACGTCTATACCTTGCTATTCTAGCCCAATGCGGGTCTCAGAGATTCTTGCCCGGCATTCAGTGCTTTCGAAGTCGGGGAAACTACCAGCATAACGCTGTGACAGGCTCGCGGTGGAGTTTGCTGATCACTGCAAGCGTCGTCCGGAATTGCATGAGGCTCTTGTATGATGTCGGATCCCAGCTCTCCAATGTGATGAAGCCGCTGCTGTTGACATCCAGCTGCTTCCACAGCCTCAGGTCCCGGAGCCCACCGTACTTTCGTAAGTTGCGAGCAGACCCAGAGGCCAGCACAATGGCCGCTGAGGGGCGTGGTGACATGGGTGAAGCCCATGGCACGTGCGGCCCGGCAGAAGGGAATGAAGGAGACCCGGCCCAGACCAGCGGTGTCCAGGAGCAGCCGCCAACCTAGCAAGATGCAAACCTATAGCAAGTGCAAACAGCTCGTGAAGGTAGCGACTTCACACCTCTAAAAAGGTCTGCTTGTTGCAGTCTGGCAGCATCTAGTTAAATTGCTGTACTTCCGGCGGCAGCAGACCTGTCAACATCTCACGGCAATGACCCTCCCCTCTCAACCCCCAAGGATTGAATCCGGAGCATCACATGCCTACAGCCACAAACCTTTTCTATGTGAAGACAGCCATGTTGTTAAGCGTCTGGTACCCACAAGCAGCAGCCCGTGCAGAAATTCCACCTTGAAGTCCTCTGTGTAGGCGACCGCGTCCTGCACGGACGTCAGCATGTCTTTTCGCCTGCATGCACTTTGAGGACCACCAACTGCACAACAAGCCTCTCGCAGTATCGCTGCCTATTTATCACACCTACATGTCTCAATTGTCTTGGAACTTGACGTGAGGCTTGTCTGGCGGCTGGCGATTGCATGCTGCCAGCAAGGCTGCTCTAGTCACTCAACATGTGGGCGCCGCCGCCAAGAGCGAAGACTCTGCAAGGTGCTTCGCAAGGTGCCACAACCACCACCAACAACCACCACCACAAACCACCATCCACCATCCACCATCCACCATCCACCATCCACCATCCACCATCCACCATCCACCATCCACCATCCACCATCCACCATCCACCATCCACCATCCACCATCCATCATCCA